AATAATGTGCGAAGGCAAATAACAAGAGTATGTAAGTATGTATATAAGTATGTAGGTGTACTGGCGGCATTTAGATCTAAAAAATACAACCAGCAGGACATTGTGTATTTACTATCGTTTTGGGTGTATGAAATGACAAAGTAATTTTGTATATGGAAGAAAGTGCTTAGCACAGTCAGAAAAAATGATCAAAAATAATGGGATTTTTTTTATCAACTTCAAATTTTATTATACTAAATTTTAACAAGCTACAAAACTGTGTATCAAAAATTATTTTAGAAATTCTAATTAAAATGCTCTGAATTGAGATGAAAACTTTTTGAAATTTTTATAATTTTTGTACAGAGTTAGAAATTTGGACTTATTTGGTTTTATGTGTTGATATTTTAAGGACCACCCTAGTGCAAGGCGGAAATTTTAAGAGATCTTCTAAGTAGGGCTTGTTCAATATGACCTTCTACTTAGAAGCTCTAATAAAATAAAATAAAACGTTTTCAGGCAGACCTATTTATCCAATGAGACCTCCTCGGTGGAAGCTGTATTAGAAATATTCCAATGGCCTTGCCATTCGCAAGCAGATGAGAAGGCGCGTTTCCAAAACAACTTAAGCCAAATAAGAAAACAATCATAGTAGGCGTGTCTGGTGCAAAGTTAAATTTGAACTGTGTCATAATTATTTCGTGTAAATTGCCCCCTTTTAAGGGAAGCTGAATCATATGGCCTTGCAAGTCTGTACATTCCATATGAACAGAAAGTAGTAAAGAAGCGAGCATGAAAGGCGTATCGTTTCAAAAGATCAGAGATAGGGCGGGGATCAAATAACAAAAAAAAAAAAAAAAAAACGAAAAATAACACAACTTCCTCAATAAAAAGACCCTGAATTTTTGGTCATTCCATACATAAAAAATTTAACACGTAGATAACGTCTGTGGCTTTAAAATTTCCGAAAAGCACGTCTAAAAGAGCCCTTTACTGCTTATGTTGCCGACTGGGTCAGAAAAAAAATAAGGTATTTACTTTTCGTTAAGTATGTATCCACGTACGTATATTTATGCAGAGGGGCACATATGTGGGCGGGAAATTAAGGAGAAGAGAGTGACATTGGATCTATTGCGGCTATTAAAAGAGTTCTATTTTGTAAATTTGAAATAGTTTTAACTTCTTGTTACATTTTTATTGTGAGATAATGTTTTGGTTTATAAATGCATCTTATTGGCGAAGGTACAGGTGTGATTTGTAAACATGGCTGGCTAATTATTTGAGAAAATGAAAGTGAAAATCTTAAATTAAATGTAAAAAATTTGCAAAGCAATTCAGGAAACTTCTTACTTTGATTTGTCAAATTTTAACACCGCATCCTTACCCTTTGGCAAATTACCACATCTTCTTACACTATACTTTTTTAAACTAAATTTCTTTAAGCAATCGAATTCGCTCTGTTGATAATGATCCGTCACCATGGAAGAATACAAATATCTAAAAAAAATTTCCTTCATCATTTTTACACACATTAAATCATTGAATGTCTGAAAAACTTGTTTATTTAAATACTAAGTGCGTTTTACAGTTTTAATAAAAATATGTTTTTTCTTTTCTCTCTCTCTCTTTTTCTCTATTTGCAGGTGAGTCAGTTTGTTCGGGAATTGAGGTTGAAATTGAAAATAATAACAATTTCTCTCATGGTAAGCTTTGTCATTATTCATTAACTATCATTACAACCGACTTTCATCTGCCTACAAAATTGAAATTGATACAAAATTAATGCTTTTAATTTATTTTAATAAAAAAACCGTTTCTAATATGCCGTTAAAAGCGCTTTTTGCCTTTTTCTAAAAAAAAAATTTATAAAATTTTCATTTGCTTACTTCTACTTAAGATGTTCTTACACGATATGTATTTGCTTCTGTAAATGTGTCTTTTTCAAAACGTATGTAATTGCGTATGTCTATCAAATTCACAGTCTTTATTTAACTATTTAAAAATACGTTCTTTAAAAACAAAAATAAACTAAACTCCGATGATTCTCTCTGTGTGTCAGATGAAAATAAAAAACATTTCTATTTCCTATGTACGCGCATCTACTTTGTACAGAATCAAATCTAATTTGCCTTTACACGATATGTTGGCATTTGCATATGTAAAAAGTGGCATGTACACATGCAAATACATATCGTGTAAGAACACCTTTATTACTTCCCCTCTGATGAATTATCTTTTCATGTTTGCTTTTCTTTAGTTTATTTATTTTCTTTCATGATCTCGATCTTTCGGCGTTTCAAAAATCCATCAAATATTCTCAGAAGCTATAACAAATTTCCAAAAATTTTCTGTATGTAAATAAACTTAGTTTTTACTAAAATGCTCGTATGTTCTAAATAATAAAAAAAAAACAACGTGCAAGCTTTCACCTTATCTCTAGATTGCTCAGAGCGCACAAGAATATAGCTACAAATATTTTATATTGACTATTAACCAGCTACTTATAAGCAGGAAGAGCTTTTACACCTCACACACGCTATCTCAAAAAGGCTCTGCACGCAGGCAAGGCGGCGCCCATTACCGCTTCAAACCGGTGACGCTCGGAGAGAACTTTTACTCTATGCAGAAAGCTTAAAGAAGTTCTGCCCGCGGGCGCTTCATTGCCTAAAACCACTGCTGGAATGAAAGAGCATTTTGCACTGTGCGCGCTCATATGAAATCTAAAGAAAACATGAAGCTTTGTCTACAGGCTGTAGATCAGCGATGGTCAGGTAGAGCTTTTACTCTGCGTGCCTCTATTAAAAATGCATAGAAAGCTTAAAAGAGCTTTGCCCGCGGGCAAGGCGATGCCCATTACCGCTATAGATTAAAAGTTCTTGTTAATCCAATGATGGACTTAGAGAACTTTACAGTCTGGCAGGAAGCAATATTTTTGCGTTAGTCCATATCACACGGTTTTGAAAAGTGGCTTTCAAAATGTTGAGCTCAGTTTATTAATTTTGTTGCACTTAAAATTAATACCTGCGTAAGAATATTAATTTAAACTGTGCATTTTAATTCTTGATTTATCGTTATTTGCTTTAAATGAATGGAGATTTTTGCATCAAATGCGTTTGCCGTGCTTCAAATAAAATTTAAACTTTATTTGAAAATTTTTGATAGACGTCGCCCTCATCGAATCGTCCAATCTGCAGAGTATTGCCACACTTCGGGCTACTGACAGTACATAATTTTAACTATGGCACTAATATCACGAATATAAATACATATGTACTACCACAAAAAATAAAATAATTGGCGAAATTCGATATTTTTCATATCATTCCATACTTCATGCATCTCATGTTCCCCGTGCACTCACTCCATCTTCGGCGCGAACGCGCGAAATCGCACATCTTCATTAAGTTCATGCCACTTCGGCTCACGCACATACATTTCGCCACTTTTCGCCCAGCCATGCAGCATTCATTTATTCGCCTCATTTCAGCCTAGCTCGGCCGAAACATGCCAACGATTCATTTGAATAATCATTTGAAGCGAAAGAGAGCGCAACTGTTATTATTTTTAATTTTAAATCCTCTTCTGTGTATGTAACGATTTATTAATTTGATATGTATGTATTGTAAATTGCTTATACCATATGTATGTACTCGTATTTGTGTAACGTAACGTATGCGCACAAGAGCGAAATATAAAAAAAAGTAACATTTTGCCTTACGCAGCGGTTACACAAAAAATAATAAAAATAATAATATGATTTTTTTTTTGTAAAAGGCAAATTACAAAAGCAACACTGTCTAATCAAATATTTTATTAACGCGCCTCGGTGCTTTCCGTTTTTTCCTCTCTCTCTTTCTCTCTTCCTCTTAAATGTCTTGTTTCGTTTCAATATTCACATAAGCAGGCGATTCATCGTATCACATGAAGATCCTTGTGCCTGCAGTGGCCTCCGGTGCCATCATTGGCAAAGGTGGCGAGAATATCGCCTCTTTGCAGAAAGACTCCGGTGCTAGAGTAAAGATGTCCAAGTCCCATGATTTCTATCCAGGTAAGTGGAAAATGGAAATAAGAAGAGTGCTCACTATTCTAATTGATTCTCGTACTGCGTTTTTTTTTACCATCTCGCACACGCNATGATTTCTATCCAGGTAAGTGGAAAATGGAAATAAGAAGAGTGCTCACTTTTCTAATTGATTCTCGTACTGCGTTTTTTTACTTTTTTTACCATCTCGCACACGTGTAGGCACCACCGAGCGTGTTTGCCTCATCACTGGCTCTGTGGATGGCATCATGTCGGTTATGGACTTTATTATGGATAAAATACGCGAGAAGCCCGATCTTACAACTAAGATCATAGATACTGATTCCAAGCAGAATCAGGACCGTGATAAGCAGGTGAAAATTTTGGTGCCCAATTCCACAGCCGGTATGATCATCGGCAAGGGTGGTGCTTTCATCAAGCAGATCAAGGAGGAGAGCGGCTCGTATGTGCAGATTTCACAGAAACCCAAGGACATTTCACTGCAGGAACGTTGTATCACCATAATTGGTGATAAGGAGAACAACAAAGCCGCTTGCAAGATGATACTCTCCAAGATTGTTGAGGATCCACAGTCCGGTACATGCCTTAATGTCTCATATGCCGATATTAGCGGTCCTGTGGCCAACTTTAATCCGACCGGTTCGCCGTATGCCACCAATCAGAACGCCATTAATACGAGCACCGCTTCATTGAACTCCACACTGGGACAAACTATCGGCGGCGCAGCCTCAGCTGCAGGTCTTTTGGTAAATGGCACCGGCATCAATTTATCCTTAAATTTGGGTTCACCAAATCCAGCACCCAACTTGGCTGTGGCCACGCAATTACTTGAACACATCAAGGTATTTTGGCAGTAACTAAATTTTGCAACTTAAAGTGCTGTCAGACGTGGCAATGCAAAATATTTCGAAAAGGCTGTCAAATTGAGAAATTTCAGAAGTCAATTGAGAAGTTGCAATTAAGAGTATTTCGAAAGTTGTGTATTTGTTTTCGAAAAGCGAATTGCATGACAAATTTCTGAAAACACTTTTGGGTAGCTCGCGCAGCATACGAATTTTTGGCAANTACGCGAGAAGCCCGATCTTACAACTAAGATCATAGATACTGATTCCAAGCAGAATCAGGACCGTGATAAGCAGGTGAAAATTTTGGTGCCCAATTCCACAGCCGGTATGATCATCGGCAAGGGTGGTGCTTTCATCAAGCAGATAAAGGAGGAGAGCGGCTCGTATGTGCAGATTTCACAGAAACCCAAGGACATTTCACTGCAGGAACGTTGTATCACCATAATTGGTGATAAGGAGAACAACAAAGCCGCTTGCAAGATGATACTCTCCAAGATTGTTGAGGATCCACAGTCCGGTACATGCCTTAATGTCTCATATGCCGATATAAGCGGTCCTGTGGCCAACTTTAATCCGACCGGTTCGCCGTATGCCACCAATCAGAACGCCATTAATACGAGCACCGCTTCATTGAACTCCACACTGGGACAAACTATCGGCGGCGCAGCCTCAGCTGCAGGTCTTTTGGTAAATGGCACCGGCATCAATTTATCCTTAAATTTGGGTTCACCAAATCCAGCACCCAACTTGGCTGTGGCCACGCAATTACTTGAACACATCAAGGTATTTTGGCAATAACTAAATTTTGCAACTTAAAGTGCTGTCAGACGTGGCAATGCAAAATATTTCGAAAAGGCTGTCAAATTGAGAAATTTCAGAAGTCAATTGAGAAGTTGCAATTAAGAGTATTTCGAAAGTTGTGTATTTGTTTTCGAAAAGCGAATTGCATGACAAATTTCTGAAAACACTTTTGGGTAGCTCGCGCAGCATACGAATTTTTGGCAATCTTTATCGATACTACAATGCAACCATGAAACGCGGTACCGGCTGTTCTTTTTATTGCTCTTGGTTATAATTAACTTTACTTTCAATTTGAGGACTAATTTATTGTTAATAACTCAACAAATAAATTTCGAAAAATAAAATTGTCTGACAGTGAAAATATATTTTCTGCGCGATATAGTTGAAGCTGTACATAGGCCTTACCAAACAGAAAAAAGTCTACATACTAAGAATGTTGAATTGACCCTCCAAATTTGGACTTAGGACCGCCCGAAACCGGTTTGAAAACGCCCTATCTCAGAAAATGACTCAAGAACGCCCTAATTCAGATGTTGGTTGAAGAACGCCCTATATGAAAATTTAGTTCAAAACGTTCTATCTCAGACCTTCGTTCAAAAACGCCATATCTCAACCGAAAATATATTGAACAAATGTTGAGAACATATGTATGAACTGAATTCTTAAATACGGCATCTTAAACCAAAACTTTGAAATGGGGCGTTCTTGAAAATTTTTCTAGGTAGGGCGTTTTCGAACAGGCTGCCGAGACAGGTCGATATTACACTCAGCCGTCGGTATGTAGTTTTAGAAGTAGTACATCTGAGCCAAACATTTATGGATTTCTTAAATTTATAGCTCTTTGAAACCCGAATTACTATGGGACCACCCGTCAGGTAACACCTTTCCTTTAAAAAAAAATATAGAAANATGCAAAATATTTCGAAAAGGCTGTCAAATTGAGAAATTTCAGAAGTCAATTGAAAAGTTGCAATTAAGAGTATTTCGAAAGTTTTGTATTTGTTTTCGAAAGGCGAATTGCATGACAAATTTCTGAAAACACTTTTGGGTAGCTCGCGCAGCATACGAATTTTTGGCAATCTTTATCGATACTACAATGCAACCATGAAACGCGGTACCGGCTGTTCTCTTTATTGCTCTTGGTTATAATTAACTTTATTTTCAATTTGAGGACTAATTTATAATAATAACTCAACAGATAAATTTCGAAAAATAATATTGTCTGACAGTGAAAATATATTTTCTGCGCGATATAGTTGAAGCTGTACATATGTATGTACATAGGCCTTACCAAACAGAAAAAAGTCTACATACTAAGAATGTTGAATTGACCTTCCAAATTTGGACTTATGACCGCCCGAAACCCGATTTTTGATAGGCTGAGGCTCCCAACTTAATTTTTTTTTACTCGATCAAAAAGTTCTATGTCATTCAAAAGAACGCATGTTGCTACTTTGACGATGAATAAGCCTCTTTTCTTCTCTCTACGACGCCATGAAATTGTTGCCATTGTGCAATAAGTCACAGCAATCATAGTACGCATATTTTCCAGTATATATCAATGGCTGGGTGGCAGATCGATCTATCTCGGCAGCCGGTTTGAAAACGCCGTATCTCAGAAAATGACTCAAGAACGCCCTAATTCAGATGTTGGTTGAAGAATGCCCTATATGAAAATTTAGTTCAAAACGTTCTACCTCAGACCTTCGTTCAAAAACGCCAAAACTTTGAAATGGGGCGTTCTTGAAAATTTTTCTAGGTAGGGCGTTTTCGAACAGGCTGCCGAGATAGGTCGATATTCCACTCAGCCGTCGGTATGTAGTTTTAGAAGTAGTATATCTGAGCCAAACATTAATGGATTTTTTAAATTTATAGCTCTTTGAACCCCGAATTACTATAGGACCACCTGTCAGGTAACACCTTTCCTTTAAAAAAAAATTATAGAAATCGGTTAACGTGGTCCAAAGTTATGCGGTAACATACTAAAAAAAAAAACTAATAAAAAATATTCCAACGAATTGGGTTTTTGGGCGCTATCTGCAGATTTTGAGGGTCAATTCAAAATTCAGAGTATGCAAATTTTTTAGCTTGCTTAGACATACATTTGTTTTTATTTTGTCTTACAGCGTAATGAATTACAAGCAGCTTTTTTAATGTATTCAAAATTATGCTTTATTATTTCTCACAAGTTCGCGATCAGTGTCACAGGGCAACATTCGAATGGTTTGACAGCACTTGCAGTAAAAATTAAAAATGCTAGGGTAGCACCAGCAAGTTGTAAAATATTTTCGAAAGCGATTTGCGCTCTTTCCGTTGTATGTGGTAACACCTTGCAATTTTTATTTCTGAAACTAATTTCCGGAAAGCGACCAAAATATATTTCTGGCCGTTTGCACGAGAAAATTAATTTTCTCTTTCTCAATTTGACAGCGAATTGCGTGGAAAAGTTGGAAATATTGCGCCATCTGACAGCACTTTTAACTCATACTCATTACTTGACGTTTTATTTAACATTTTCCATCTCTATCTCTCTCACCCCTCTAGATTGCTCTACGCGGCTCCGGCTACTCAGAGACGGCCACCAACGAAGTGTGCGCCGCTCTAGGCGTGCTCGCCAAGTATGGCGTTTTGGGCATGGGCGTTGGTGTACCACATGCAAATGGCACCACCACACTCGGCAGCTATCTGGGTGTTTCGGCGCTGGATCAGCAGACAGCTGCCGCCGCCTCAGCAGCTACTGCCGGCAACGTTTTCGGTGCAGTGGGTCAAGTAAATTTGGATCAGTATACAGCGGCAGCGGCCGCTGCTGCTGCAGCAGCTGCCAGCCGTCCGACGCAGTCGCAGCTGGAAGCGGCTGCAGCCGCACAATTCGATCCGTTCCGACATTTGGGCACTACAGCCGCCACAGCGGCACAAGCTGCAACACCGGTCTCGCTGAATAATAATAGTTTCGGTTTGACTGCTGCAACAGGTACCACGGGTACAACAGCGCAAAGCTTAGCTGCCGCACAACATGCGCTGAGCGGCTTGAGCAAGAGTCCCACCCCGGGTGATTTGGGTGCAAAGGATACCAAAAATGTTGAAATTCCAGAAGTGATTGTTGGCGCTATCTTAGGTAGGCCACACTTTTATTATCCCTACTAAAAATCAAGTAAACCAAAGTTGGTCAAATTAATTTACGTACACAAGCCAATCCGAAGCCTACTATGCACAGACACACAGTTAAATGTTTTTAATGTTTCAAACCAAAATTATCCGCTACGCCTTAAGCCATATTGCCACACAAAAAAAAA